GTAAATCTTTCTACGACAGACCAACGGACCACGAGTGCCCCTGTCGGTCAACCAATCACATACCGCGGTACCCCGCGTCATCTTGCGTCACGATGGGCGACGCCGTAGCCAATTACCTCCGGTACGTGTCTGTACCGTGCACTTTGAATGGCTGCATCTGTACAACACACAAGTTACTATATATACAGCATGTATAGACAAGGCATTCCGGAGACCTAATGTCCTGACCTCTCTGAAAACCCTAGACTGCTGCCAAGTATATGACTCTTAAATAATGCCTACAGAGGCCAGAAAGGAAACAGAAGCAATACAATCTGCAGTTACTGTAAATCTCTCTCTCTCTCACTGCAAACCCAGATGCCAGTAAATGAATGGCAGACTATCTCCCTATAGCAAGCTTTACCTACCAAGGTTCCAATACTTAGCTCCAATCAAGATTTGTTTGGATGATCATGAAGCAGGGGCTCTCACCTGGTGTAAGCTTCAAGTTCCAACTCCTCCAGACTCCCCTCTGTCTTGTGGTCTGAATTTCTTTCTCTTCTTTTTTACCTCCTCGTCTGATGGCATCAGGTGTGTTTCTGGACTGTTGATTGACACTTAATCATTTTACCCACAACTTAATTAAGATAAAACAAGGCAAACCATGATGTGGTTTGATCACAGACTCTGGACCTCCTACATGTCAGCAAACAGCCCCTCTGCTTTGAAGCTATCTTAACTCTTAGAGACACTTCCTAGTCACCTATACCTGTAACAATATCAAAGTACAGAACCTAAAGTTATAGGGTGCAACAATTTGCTTATCTTCTCCCTGTCAGAATAAAGAGGATACTGAGGCAGGATTCCATGAGAAGAACCTGGTCTTGTGCACTTTGGACCTGTTTATAGCTGGGACTGAGACCACCTCTACCTCTCTACGCTGGGCTCTTCTCTACATGATCAAACACCCAGAGATACAGAGTTAGTAACTGCATGAAACTGAAAAAGTATTACTAAAACTATTTATAGACACTGTGGGTGAAATGTCAAAATGTAAAATGTATGATAAACCTAAGAAATATACAGGAAAAAAAACAGCTCCATTATCCTTGTCTTCCAAATTCTACATTTTGACCCCCATTGCAATAAGAAAATGTCCATGTTTTAACTGTTGAACCTGCCTCCTGAAAATAACTGAGGTGTGTAACCCAGATCAGTTTGCTTTGTGCCGACATTTTTAAACATGCCCTGACAACGCCATATAATTCATGTAATTATTGGCACAATAATTTCTGAAAACTCTAGTTACTATTCTATGACAAATACCAAATAAATTATCTCCATTTTTTTTGGATAACACAAAATGTGCTGTATTTGTGGTGTCCTAGTTGAACACTTTCTTTTGTCACCAGCATTCATGTGAATGTAATGTGTATTGCAGAATATAGAATCAAAGTATCGAAAAAAAACTTTTTAATATACTGTACATAGATTATATTCATCATGCAGAGTTTCTTTCTGGGGGCAGCACAATCAATTAAAAAGAATACATTCCAATTGTAATACACTGTTTTTAAACTACTGTACATCTGTGTTGTTTTTACCCTTCATTTGAGAGGTATAATAAGTGCTTTGTGATGAAGTATGTAAAGCCATATCTTGCCTTGCCTCTCTCAGAGAAAGTCCAGGCTGAGATAGAGAGTGTGCTTGGACAGGGACGGCAGCCCTCCATGACAGACAAGCCCAACATGTCCTACACTGATGCTGTTATCCATGAAATCCAGAGGATAAGCAATATTGTTCCTCTGAATACACCAAGGATGACTACTAAAGATACAACACTGGGGGGATATTTTCTTCCAAAGGTAAATCTAAAAAATGTCAAACAGCTGAAATTTTGAATGCATATTATTTTATAATGGACAGGAGCTGAAATAAATTCATTTCTCACTCATACGGCAAAAAGGTATTCGGAATGGAATCCTCAAGTGTTGACTTAGATCTAAATTATAAGCAAATCTAACCTGTATTTCTTTCAATCTTTATTTTAATATGAGTGTAGAAACATGATATTTCCGTACAATGTTCTTATAGTGTATACTGTTGATTTTAGCCTAGTGGTATAACTTTTAAAAAATTGTGTTTTATAAATCCCTTTTGAAGAGAATATGACAGCACTGCCAGTGGAAATGTTTATTTTGTAGGGTACACCAGTAATGACAAACCTGACCTCAGTGCTGTTTGACAAGACTGAATGGCAGACACCAGACTCCTTCAATCCCGGGCATTTCTTGGACTCTGAAGGGAAGTTTGTCAGACGAGAAGCTTTTCTTCCATTTTCTGCAGGTACAATTACAATCACAAATCAAGGTCATGCTTAATATTTTCATTTACTATACTTCTGCTACTAGTTACAAAAAACAAGTTAAAATATAGAAAAATAACATGAACACATGGGACATACTGTTCAGTATATTGATATAAGATGTAATGGATCTAACACTACTTATTGAAATAAGGAAAGAAAACATCTGACTCTTCACACTTAAACTCCATTATAATGTTAAGCTTTTAGTAACATTTTAGTAACACATTATTAACATTTTAGTAACATTTCCATTTAGTTTTTTTTTCTCTGAGAAAAAGAATGTAAATACAATTATTTTTTCATGTTTTTATTTCTCCATTTTGGAGAACACATTCCTCTGACACCTATTTCTGTCAAAGCAGTTTGCTGTATAGCATTCTGCAAGCCCCCTGTGGCTCACAGGAGTGTGATCACTGAATATAGGAGTGGTGTTTCTCCCACTGACATCCCTGTAGGGTGAGCCACAGAATCGCGTGTGCCAGTAAAGTAAGACAAGGATAAAAAGGACAAGGAAGGAGGATGTGGTTTATAAACTAAAACTTTGTGATATCGCTCATTTCTTTCAGGAAAGAGGGTGTGTCTGGGAGAGCAGCTGGCCCGGATGGAGCTGTTCCTGTTCTTCACTTCCTTTTTGCAGAACTTCACATTCAAAGCCCCTGAAGGGGAAGAACCCAGTGTGGAATTTCAATTAGGGGGCATCCTAACTCCTCGGCCTTTCAAGATCTGTGCCATTCCACGATGACATCCACATCAGTGTCTTAAATCTAAAGAACACTGGAGGGCAGGACATTTAGATTTTAGAGGACAATTTGACTGTAAAAGTAAAAGCCAGAACTTCAGAACTGTGCTTTTACATACAGTACATTCCATGTGAGATCCCAGTTTTGTAATTTAACAAACAGCATGCTAAAATTTGCTTAGAAGTTTTAAGCATACGGTGATTTACACAGCTTTCAGGAATGTGTCATTAAAGGCACCAGGATTTGTCCACACTGACTGTAGAGAAAGGACTGTTATTGTGGATTTCCAAAATAGTGTTGCAAAAATAGTAGGCTTTTTCAGATTCAGATTCATGACATGTCTGTAACATTGGAATTTTTAATGAATAGAATTTAGAACTTTTACAGTCAAAATAGTTTCTTCTAACATAACAAGAAGAGAATAAACTTGATATTATGTAAACAAAGCAATTTTATACAGAAAGAATACCTACAGTACAGTATATGCTAAGACATGGTAATACAAATGTGTTTTTGACTTTTGCCATCCTTTCATTAGACTCTCGACATGCAGCATTCTACCCTTAAAATGGGCACTTCTTGATACTTCATTCATGCATCGCTGACTTTAATCGTTAAAATAATAATCAGGCAAAATGTGATGATTCCTTAAATTTGAAACAAATTGTATTGCAGTTGTTTTACATTTCATACCACATTTTAATATTAATCTTGAGCACTGCTACTGTATTAAAAAATCACTCCTTTCTGGTTTTTAATGGTATTTATTGTACAGTAGTAAACATAACAAACAGTTTTACAACAAAATCCGTTTTTGAAAATTCAGAACTAGTGCAAAAAATTGGGTTATGCCACCAAATACCTCCCACATTGTTTATAACTTTACAAAATCATCAATCTAAGAAGTGTACAGCTTTACAGCAATAACATTCATAAGTTAATATTTATAAGTTTACAAATTTAAGCTGTTAAGTGCAGAGTATAAGTTTGAAAGATGGGGAGGTTACAGTTAAAATTAACTGTTAGTCACATTGAAATCAATTCATAGTTTATAGTTTTTTATGTCTATATGATTAATGATAAAAAAAAACTTTAATTTCATCAAAATGAAGTTCTTTAAGGAGTATAATTATTTGCCAGTTTCTCTTCTCTTGTTTTGCATAGCATCACCCTGGATCCTGAAATGTCCAAACGTTCCAATTGCAAAGCCAGACTAATTCAGGAGTCCCCATCATTCAAAATGTACTCTTTAAAACAATCCCTAATCCTCCAAATTGTCTTGGAGCCAGTACAAGAGCCCTCCACTTCCAACAGAACCTTATAGAATAGATCTAGGATGGATAGGCTCTTCTTTCTAAAATAAACTGTGCAAATCTCTTTTGATTATTTTAACATTTAGTAACAAGTGAAAAATGTCAATAAATAATTTAACGTCTAGACTAAAAGACATAATTAAATTAAGAAACTACTTCCTTGAAGCATCTTCAGACAAAACAAGTATAGAAACAAAAACATCTGACCATAACATTTTAAAAAATATAAAACTTGATGAATGCTTAAAATGTTATATTCCTGCAGCTGGAAATTTCCCAGTTCCCAGTATCCTTTTTACATTTACATTTCTATGCTTTTCAGAATTTCATTTATATGGAACAGATCTATATTTTCCTATGGAACTATTATAAGTGAAGTGCTCTTGTACAGTATTTCTTTTTCAACATATTCTTAAGGAACTAATAGCACATAAAGCACCATAACTAAATATTATATCATCCATTAAAGCAATGCAAAGAGCTAAGCATTCTGTTTTTTTTAAGTGGATGAAAAGAGCAAAGCAAATATTTTCTTTGCCATTTCACCTTGGGCAGAGGCAAGATTCTAAAAGAAAGAAGATTCATCCCTTGTGATTTGTAGAAGAATATCACTGATATTACAGAGAGAACAACCCCACACTTACTATCATACAATTTGTCCCACTGGTTGCCCCATTATTACAGTTCATTAATAATATAACTATCAGCTACAAAATTAGGCCCACCAACATACAGGCTTAAACTTGACAAACACTGAAAAAATATATTGTCTCTACAATGTTTTGTATTTTTCCATTTTTAAAAGCATGGCTTTAACTAGAAACTCAATATTTATCTTGCACAACAAACTGATTAGATCATTTAGGTTTATTGTCTTCAGCCTGCGATGATTTTTCAGAAGTGTTCTGCACTGTACAGCAAGAAGAGAGCATGGTACAGTATTCTTAATCCACCTTCAGAGGAAATACTTTGTCATATAACAGAGATCCCCAATGCTCCACAGCATCATTGTCAACTGGAATTAAATAGAAAATTTCCCAAATTCTGAGTAACTAGCTTTTTAATTAATTTAGGTTTCTGGTCTACTTGAATTTGTTTTTAACCATTATGAAAGAAAATATTAACTTTGTCTAGTTCAGTTTTTCTGAGAATTTTTGTTATTTGATTTTATTGGCCCTAACTCCACATATCTTCAAAAATGCGTGACATTTAAGAAAGAGACATTAACAGTACATAGTGTACATCAGCTGTTCTAACAAAGTTATGTCCACACATTCTGCCATACAATAAACTAAACGTGTCTGTTAAAAATGTATTTGACAGTGTATTCAAGGAAACCTGAAATAAATGCCAATTGATCCTACAATAGCTTTTGGAAGGAATTCACAAGAAAATAATCATTCAAAACCAATTACTAAGTTACATTTATTTCAGATTTCCATCAGAACACTATAATTTCAACTTAATTTTTATTAAATAATACAGTTTGCTAATAGATAGCAGTAGCATTTAGTCACCTTAGTTCACTTAACATTATGAATGAACAGTACATGACAGTTCACACTAGTCACAACAAAACAAAAGAGAAATGTATGCAATTTCAATGCTCTGCACATCTTAATGCACTCAATGTAACCATGGCAGCAAGCAAGAATGGTAACATTTACACAGCATAGCAATTTTGCTGATTAAACAGAGATTTAAAATGTTTTAAAAACAGGGACAATTTATCAGATTCTACAAAACACAAACCCAATGACCCAGTTCACTGCATTTTTTACTTTTCAATTAAAACTGTCTTACATAAAATCTGGCTGTAAATATATGGAATTAAATTATCACATGAAATAAAAACGGCAACATACTCAAAAACTTCTAATGTAGGCAAAAGACTTTTTAATGCCTACCTGGTACTTTCCTTCCCAAGTACCTTTAGCATACAACCTCAAACACCTAACCTTGGATAAGTGATAAGCATTATTGTACATAAAAAACAAGCTCTGAAACAGGGTCATGTTTAAATTCATAATAAAAGTAAACAAATAAATGAAAATTTAATAATTAACAGTAAAGGCATAATGTAATGCAATAACAGTATGGGCCTAAAAAGAAAGAAATAAGCACCATATTTTTTAACAAATTCCTTTTACTCTTAGTAAGAATGTAAATATGTTATATTAATATATTTACATTAATTTACTTATACATAACTCAATTAAGAACAAATTAATTCAATAAAGATCATTTTTATTTTTCAGATATTTCAATATTCATACTTTATTAAAAGACAATTTTATTATTTAAAAAAATAATACATTTAAACTCTGAGGGTTTTCCAATCAGCTCTTGAATCAAAGTCTTGAAAAGAGAAACAATTTGGAATTAAGTTACTGCTGGAAGGTTTAGCTCTCTTGCGGGAGGCCTTGTTGGGTCGCAGAAGTTTAGACTTGCATTGCTTTTGAAAATAAAGTGTACTCAAATAACATTTACAAAGAAGAGCTCAAAGCAAAGTTTCCTTATAAGATCACAACACTGAACTGCGTGTCTACTATTCAAAAGGACTTCAGTAAAATGCAATCTGAAATTTGAGAACAACAAGCCTTTTTTTTCTAGGAACAAACTACTACAATTATTGTGTCATGCTAGGAAGACATTTACAATCCGCAGACTGGCTTTAGAGGTAGTTAATATTATGCTTTAAAATACAAATATTTGTGGAATATTTTGACATTTTACAGGCGCTGCACCTTATAATCATAATCATTATTTAAAATGTACCAACAGTTATTTATGAAGTTCTTACAATAATGACCAGAAAAATACAGATTTAAAAGAGCAATAAAATCTGCTTAATCATTTCAGTGCATATGTTAATGATTGATATGTAGAATTGGTTAAACATTTGCTTTTACATTTGAAAGTAACTCTGAAGAATGTATTGAGGCCGGTAGGTTTCTCCCTGATTCTTCTACTACTCTCAAGCCTGGATATGCACAGTATTTTATTTTACTATGCTCTGAATTGAATAACTATGAGTGAAAAACTAAACCCTAGCAATTCTGGGATCAAATAAAACAAAAATTGATAGAACTTCTCTTTTTAAAACAGAATAATGAATCAAATCATACTTTAAACTTCTGTGCTATTTCTAGAACAAAACTAAATGCAATGCAAAAAAAACCCCACAAAGCACATTTTTATTTAAGAACAGGTATCCTCAAGATAAGTAGATACGTTTTAAAAAGTAATCCAATTGCATTTGAAACCATACACTGTTAACCAGCTGTGATTCCCCAATATACAAGAACAGTACGAAAGTCACAGATGAGACTCTTCAGCAACTCAACCAGCATTTACTGTAGTTGATGGCTTGCTGTTCAAAGATCGCATTCTGCTGCTCTTTATAGATCCCAAATATATATCTTTATAAATCTATTTTTAAATTCAGATTACACAACATGCAACACAATTGTAATTTAAATCATGCAAGTAGTGTTCATTAAACATAAAACAATATGTCTGTAGCCATATATTACTATCAATATGGGGACGAACTTTAAAAAATCACCCCAAAAACTGTAGTTAAATCTTATTTCTGAGTTTTAATTCTTGGAGATTTCGAGGAACTCAAAACACATATAAGTATAAAACACAGCAGATGCAACAGAACAGGAAAAAAAACATTAAATTGACTTTGTGAAGGTGTATAATGAAATTATGCATTAAAAGCTTCAGTGAGAAGAGAAGTCTTTAAAGGAATTAGTAGGAGTACATTGAAAAATCTATATTTCAATAGGGTCTAAAGCAATTTAAGGAGGACAGGCTTTGCTTTTAGTGAGCACACGAGCCACACAATTCTGAAGATGCTGAAGATACAGTAGTACAGTAGTTATATAACACACAAAAGTAATTACTGAGAGATGACTTAAGGACATTTTCACAATGTAAATGACTATTTTTAAAATCCTAATGGCAACTTTGAAATCTGAGAGAGTCCAAAATATGATTGAATCTATTACAATCGTATTGTATGTGGATTTCGGTGGAGTACAAAACAGTAATTTAACATAGAATCAAAGTCAAAAGGAAGTCCTTTCAAAAATGTCTGCTTGCCTGAGAAGCATGACCTAAAGTCTTGAAATCCTATGTACTTTACACATAAGAAGCAGGTAATCACATTGTTCCAAATCTCCAAGTGCATGAAAAGTAATTTTTCATGTTTTTTAAAAAGGAAGAGGGTCTTGGTTTATTCTGAAACCTTGAAAAATTACATTTCAAGTGAAGTGAAGAGTGTACTGTATAGTGTTACAGAAATACAAATAGAAAATGAAAAGTAAATTATTTACAGTAAATTATTTAGTAAATTTACAGT